TCACCAAGTGCACCAGTTGAATTGCCATCGATAAATTCTTCTGTGTTAGCAAGTTGTATATTCATATAAGAATCAACTGACATTAAGTACCCTTTATATTCCATGCCCCATTTCAAACGTACCATAACAGGTTTACCTGTTAATTCTTGTAAAAAAGGTTTTGGATTTACTGGTTGAAACTGAATTAAGTTTATTTTATATAAAATAATTTAATTAAAAGATGATAAAATTTAAACATACTAAAAAAATGAAAAATTTACCGCCATTATTTTCTTTTTGATAAAAAAGATGATAATAATAATGGTGTGCATATCATCTATATATATCAATCATGACGACGATCATCACCATAAGGCCCCCCTTTCAAATTTCAGACATGTATTAGTATGGTAAGGATCTGTCCGATCTGAGGCATGAACGGTTTGATTTTCTTCTTTATTTTTAATATCAATCTAGCAAGTCATAACACCACCAATGATTAACTGCTTTGATTGATGTGAAAATAAAGCAGACTGAATTTACGGCATGCCATCGAAAAGTCAAATATTTTATACAGTCAAACCTCGTCACGGAACCAGCCAAAAAAATCCGTTGTGACAAGAAATCCGCTATGGTGATGATTGTTTAAAATACCTCCAAGCAATATTACTTTTTTTGCTTCCTCCTCATAAATCATTTATTTTTCATGAGTTTGAGAATTAACAGTATTTAAATCACTCAAAGACGATGGCGTTTTTAGGCTTAGAGCAGGACTAATACACACAAATATAACAATCATGATTGTTTTAATATATTAATTTCTGATTGCATAATTATTTGATAGGTGAAAAATGAAAAACAATGTTTATTTATTTATTTATTATAATTAATTGAAAACAAATTTTCTAATGATTTTTTTTACATACTTTTTTTTTACAAGGCATTTTATTACATCAATTCTTTCAAGCCATTTTGGTTCAATAGATCTAACCTTTTGTACTCATATATCTACCTTTATGCAATCAAAATCCCACGAATTTATTTTTTTTAGATGTGATTTAAATTGTTTTATGAGTATCAAATATTTCCTTTGCATCTAGTAGCTCATTCACTTGACCTTTTTATACAAATTTTTTTCACCCTTCTTCATAGCCAAATCGTAAAAATCAGTAATTCAATGAATGGCAGCACAAGAAACATATGTTAATGTAGACATGACAATAAACATGTCCGCATGTGAAAAAAAAAAGAAAAACATAAAATGTAAAAATAAACACGTAGTGCATAGGTACGTGTTCTTAACATTTTCGAACACGTCGATTGACAGCAAACAACAATCAATGATGGGCGTAGGAACAAATGTTAACATTGCAACATGGATGACATGACAATAAACGCGTCCGCGTGCAAAAAAAAAAGGAAAGACATATAGTGTAAAAATAAACATGTACGTGTTCTTAACAATTTCGAACACGTCGATTGACAGCAAACAACAATCAATGATGGGCGTAGGAACACATGTTAACATTACAGCATGGATGACATGAAAATAAACATATCCAAGTAGCATGAAAAAAAGAAAGATGTATGGTGTAAAAATAAACACGTAGTTGCATAGGTACATGTTCTTAACAATTTAGAACACATTGAATGTTCACCAATGATTTCATAACAAACATGTTGATTAATCGGATAATGGTTCACAGCCATGATCTCATGCACCTGAATCAAGAATCAACAGATAAATGTAGATCTTAAATTGAGGTGCATTTGTTGGTTAGAACTTAAAATTGTTGAACTTTTCATTAAAAACCAATGCAAAAACATGCTTTCTTGCCATAAAAAAAAAAAATGCTCAGAAGGTCCAAAATCATGTTTAACCACATCAGATTGGGAGCATATTGGAGTAAGTTTTATTTATTCTCTATTATTTGTATTTCACAAGTTTTTTTATTTATAAAAGATGCATTTTTATTTTGTTTTAGGAATTATATCATATCTTAGAACCAATGTATGAAGCAACCAAATTATTATCATCATCTTCATACCCAACAATGGGTGATGTAATATTAGCTTTTATTGGTATGTTCACCACACTAGACCATTATCTTGATGCACAATTACAATAATCAATGATTTAATATTTCCTTGTATGTGAATGCCTCCATTCATCAAATATTCATGATGGTCATGATTATTATTCAATACATTTGATATCATCATCGACATAACAAACAATTGCATCACCCAAGTAGTGATAATACCAAGGCCATGCAGAAATGAAGTTTTTAATAATGTGTGTCTACCCAGATCTCTGGGATTTACAAAATAAATTATTTTCCTGATTATCCTTATGAATAATAAATCTGATGTTGATCACAGGTGTCAGATTTAATAAAAATTTCCTATCACAAACATAAGGTTTGGTGCTTTTGCACACCCTCATAATTGTGAAATTGTTTCCACAGTGAAGGCCGCCAATATGTTTGAAGGCTTTGGACAAAACTTTTCTTTATCTTCCCCTCAGACCAGGCTGGCTGTTTCCATATGGGCATTGATCATTGATGAGAGTTGACATTCATGTGATGATTGCTTTGTGTTATCACCTCTCATTAGAATAAAGTTGGCACCTGATTCAAAATTCTCCAGCTCAGAAGGTTGCAACCTGGGTTGTTGTTTTGGATTTTCCCTGAATTAAGAGTTTTGAGTCCTGGGTTGTTGTCTTGTTTGTGACAAAATTATAAATTGGTCAGTATCAGAGAAATGGAGCATTTAGGAAAATGATTATACAAAACAAATACTATTTTACAACTTTCCAGAGTCCAAATGCAATTTCAGGGTCACTAACCTACTCTAAATCGTAACCTCCTGTGCTTGAACAAGTTGCAGATTCTCTTAATATTCAGTTGCAACAGCTTGGTCACAGAACCATTCTTGCCCTAGAGGTGGATTGTTGCAGGCGACTTTTTGGCTAACATGTTGGCAGCCTTCTCTGGTCGGGTGTTGTGAGGGAAGATTAGTGAAAGTGTCATTGACGATTGTTGCAGTCTTAAACCGCTAAACCCCAGGGCCACGCTCCCCCCCCCTGGAATTAAACATCGTAATTGTATCATCGAGGTAAACTTGGTCAGATTAGCCTTTTGTACATGAGGAAGACGTGAATGACTGTAAAGTGTTCAAGGTAGCGTACGTGCTTCAACATCTGTAAAATTTCCGATAATCAAACATTGCATATTTGAATTATTTATTTTCCAACAGTGTATTGCCTTGACATCTTCTTGTAATTATATATTAATAATAATATTATTATTACAATCATTCGTTGTTGATAAGAATCTTATAATTACCCAGCAAGATCTGCTTCGCGTTTTGATTCCAATTAAAATATTTATAAACTAAAATAAAAATATCGCTACAAATAAAAAAAATTACCTCTGGTTAGTTATTAACACGTTTTCCCAAACCAACCCAAACAACAACACTCACATTTTGTCACCTTGGACTCTGTCCAAAAAAAAAAAAAAATTGCGTCTGTCCTAAATAATTAATTGACGATCCATCTATGATAAATTTTTAAAAATTTAAAAATAATTTCTTTTTGCAGTGTTTTTAATCGAACTCTTTCTTGCATTAATTACTCATTGTATCTATTATTTTTCTTTTTTAAGTTTTGGAGATTCGATTTTAAAAGAGTTTCGGGATTTAAAAACAATTTCAGAGTTTCAAAATAGTTGTTTAAAGTTTAAAAACGGTATCGGAGTTTCAAGTTTTCGAAAATAATTCAGAGTTTGAAATAGTTTGAAGTTTTAAAAGTAATATCTAGATTTAATCAACATCACAAAAAACGAGCAGCTGAAATTGCAAGTTCCAATTAATTAAAACAATGCTTCTATTCGTAGCATAATTTCTTAATTCTTTCAACTTTATATCCTAACTGATTATCTAAAATCGTTTTGCTAATTAAAGGTGTCATTTTTGCTTCAAAGGCTCGGGCAATTAATTCATGATTAGGAGAAATCCTTAAATTGGTTATAATTCTAATTACAGTGCGGATCATCTATACTCAAAAGTTAAAATCCTTGAAATATCATGTGATCCACACATTGGATTTTTAAAAACTCACCGCCATTCAATTCAGCTTTAAAAAGGGAGTCTATTAATTTTAAAAAAAAATTTGTCTCAAATTTTCTTTTTCATATACATATGTAAACTTGATAAGTCGGTCATGTCGGGGCGGACCCCTGTGACCGACTTATCGAGAGAACCGAGTTATAGAATTTCACGTGATTTTTTAAATTTAAAATTTTTAAAATATTTATTTATTTATCTTTTATCTTCAATCTTTTATACATATTTCTGAACATAATAAAATTTAATAGGAATACAAATGTATTTCTTCACACTAGATAATCA